CTAAGGAAAATAAATTCCCAAAGACTGGAAGGGTGGTGTGTCAGGAGTTTCTAAGTAACACGTCCTTGTGTTTTTACATATGAACTGTGAGAGTAGAGAGCTGAGGGAGAATATTTTTAAAATTGATCCTGTTATAACAGTAACAGCCACCATAGAAAGGGTACTTTGTGGCCAGCCTGTGTTTTATACACATTATTCCTAATTTTTTTAACAGCCCTAAAAGGTAGGTCTTACTATCCCCATTTTACAGGACAGGAAACTGAGTTTCAGTGAGTCTAAGTTACTTGTTCAAGGCCTCTCAAAATTCATGCCTAAATCTCCCCAGGCTTTACTCTGACTCTCTGAAAGGAAGAACTTAAATACCATCAGCTATAACAGAAGCAACATTATCATGAGGGGAATCCCCTAGAAACATGGAAATTCTATGGCAAATCAAAGTAATTCTAACCATCAAATATAATTATAAAACACAAGGTCTCAGAATCCTAAAATGACATTATTCTTCACATAATTACCTCATCCGAACTTCCCTTTTACATTTTTGTAAAGTCAATTAGGTAAGAGCAGTATTACAATCTCGTTTGTAGATGAAGAAACAGAAGCTCAGAGAAACTAAGCAGCAGCCAGCCGTGGGATTGGAACCCGGATTTTTGTTTTTGAATTTAGTAAACGTCAATGCAAAAGTCTTGCTATTGTGACTTTTTTTGAACGTAGAAAGCTGAAAGTCTGTGCATTACCGAACTGCTTGTTTTAAAGAATTGGCTCATGCCCACTCCCTCATCCTCGTCTGCCCCTCTTCCTGTCACCTTTTTTCTTACTATTTTCATTTGCTCCACAAATATTGTGACAAGAATAAAGGAAATAATTAGAAGAAACTTCATTCATCATTCTTGTACCACAACATATCAATTATTTTTAGGTTTCTATTATTGCCATCCAGCCCCTGTCCAAATATTACCCAAAAAGCGCGCATGTGTGCGCGCGCACACACACACACACACACACACACACAAAGATTTAAACTCCCCTAGGAAGTTATTTGAAACTTGGTGGTGGCCAAAAGTTGGTAGTCACAAGCACGTGATTCACAGAATCCAGACGGACCCTCCTGTGGCTTCGTCTGTGGAGATGTAAATCTTCATAGCTACCCAGCCAACTAGAAAAAAGAGAGCAATGAGGAAAAGCCTGACTGAAGTTAGCGGTCACTTATCTAAAGATTTGTACGAGAGCCACCACCACCATGTCCAAATGCTGAATGTAACAATTACTCCTCAACAGGAAGCAGTGCCTGGTTCTCTAAGTGAAACTTTCCTGGTCCTTTGAATATTATCTTAATCAGAGAGACATTGACCAAAATGTTAACAGTGGTTATCTCTGGAGGGTAAGATTACAACTGATGTTTATTTTTTTCTTGAGTCTTTCTTGCATTGTCTGAGTTTTCTGCAAAGAGCATGTAATATGTTTGTCAAAAGATTAAGATCAATAATAGTGATGCTGAATAGGACGTGAAGTTGATCATTAAAAAAAAAAACTATAAAAATTAGAGTCATGGGAACAGATCATGGAGTCCCCACTGCTGGAGGGACAAACAGCCCCTTCTTCAGATCGGAGACCCTAGAACCCAGGCGGGAAGTACAATTTCTAGCTCAGTTCCTTTCTAATATAATATCTGCTAACAAGTTTCTGTTTACTCCTCTCCCCCCTCCCTTATCTCGGAGAGATAGTTCCTAAACATTTGTCAATATAGAAGATTTGATTCTGAAAAACATGTTATAGATTTTCTGTAGCAATGGTCCAATATAATTTAGTAGACAATAACACCCGTAGAAATGTGTGGGCACTTTGCTGTCAAGTCCTGTAGTGTTTTAATAAAGGAACGTGTCGTTTTTCTTCAGCTAAATTTCAGTTAGAAATAATATTAGGTGAGTTCTCATTGCCCTTCATTCCATAGCCTTTCTGCAATTTGGATGCCTTAATGATTTCATGCAAAATTCACTGTCTGAAGAGTCTTGGTGGCTTCTGTCTGATCTTGGTTTTTGCTTTTGATGCGGATTACTTATGTGCATCCATCATGGTAAAAACAGCAGAGTTTGGGCAAACACTGCTCTCTCAGACCCCCGCTCCCTTTCAGGCCTGGAGATCCTTCATCTAACCCAGTTCCATTCTTGTGCCTCTTCCCGCTGGCTTCCCCAGTGCCATTTTTATTAAAGCCCCAGCTCATCCCACATTCAGCCGCATGACTTCTTACAGGCTTCAGAATAAATCACCACATTGCTCCGATCTTGGCTTCTCTGCCCTCAGCTTTCAATTAAATTTAGAATTGACTTTAAAGGTACAACCTCAATGTACATGGTTGAAAATGACCTTGTTTCCCCTTTCCCACCACCTGCGACTTCCTGCGCGGGGCTCTTATACTCCAGCTCCTGGTTCAAAAAGTAGAAACAGGAATTTGCTACATGCTCCTGTGGCAAACTATAAGTCTCAAGCTGTTTAAAGTCTTTAAAGTCCCATCCAAAAGGTAAAGTACACTCTGCAGAGAGAAATCTGGGGGCCTGAATCTCTGGCTGCCTGTGTTCAGGAAGAGACACAGAAGGAGAGGAAGAAGAAGAAGAAGAAGAGAAGGAAGAAAAAAAAAAAAACCTTTGAGCTAAACAATTTGTCTCATTTCTACGGTTTGCATTCAAGATGAGTGGTCTACTTAAAATATGCATCATTATTAAAGTAATTATATTAAGTTAATATAAATGATCTATGACAATATTACAAGGACGCCAAAGCAGACTTTAACATCAAAACTGACTTTCATCTTTTGTCTTGTCATTTCGCTTTCCACTCTTAGCAAGGAATAGAGCATACAAGCAGCAGGTTTGGGCTATTTAGAATCGGGCACGCTCCTGCCAATTTCTCCCTCCCCCCTTTGGAAGACTTTACCAATCAGAAGGACTGAACTGGAAAACCTGTCTTACTCTGTTCAAAACCCCCGTTAATATTTTAAGGTTCTTACTTGTATCTAAGAGCAATGAGGTCCCTCCCAGCCTGTGAAAGAAGAAGGAAAGAATGATTTGATTGCCTAAAGCAGGATAAAACAAGATCTGGTATGTGAAAAGGATGTATAAATTGAAAGTGCTCTACAAGTATAACAGGGCAATGTATTAATTTGACCATGAATTAGTTACTGAGTATCAACTATGCATCAGGTTCCAAGGAAGCTGTACAGTGCTTACGAGCTTGAGCCTTGGTTTTCTTGCCTCTAAAATGGGAACAGAGAGACTTTATTTTAGGGTGTGTGAGAATTAAGTGAAAGAATAAATGTAATTCACTTAAAATGAGTTCTTGGCACACAATACATACTGAGTGAATAGCTTTATATGAAAATATGAAAGGAAAATTCCCCAAAGCTAAGGGATTTACACCCTAATGAATTATTATTCTAAAACCCCTGCCTTTTGCCTCTGACCCTAAAATTTGAAAAGCTTCAAAGATTTAGCTATGCAAATCTCAGATCAAAATACTTGCCTATTGATTGCCCTTTAGAAAGATTTACCGAGGACATGTGCATGCTTTACCAAATAAAGAAGAAAGAAAAAAGGAATTAATACGTGTTACCTCATTGAATGTATCTTGGTGATTTTGCATCTTTTTTCCCTGTTGCCTTATTAAATCCTAATTTAGTAGACAGGCACGAATAGTCTCAAGCCCTAGATGGGGATACTGAGGCTCAAGGAGAACCAATTACCACCCCGTGGTCACAGAGCTAGGAAGTGGAAAGGATGGGATTTAAAACATGGTATGTTTTTCAGAGCCCATGTTCTTGTCCAGCCTCACCACTGCCCCCTGCACCCAGTTAGGTCTCATGGAGAGATCTCAAATCCTCATCTGAAGACACAAGGGTTACCTGGGATCTTCTTCAAGTAAAGGGGACATTTTTGAAAAGAAAAATGTCCCAATAATTAATTTCTTGCTCAGTCTTCTGCATATCAGTCTAATAGCGGAGTCCTTCCTTTCCATTTAGACTCTTCTAGGGAGAACCTTCCTTTTTCAGTTCTAAAAGATTACTGTTGACAGGGACATTTTTGAGGACTTGGATTCTCCTTTCTTTCTTTTAGTAGCACTTATGCTTTTCTGAGGAAACACAGATATTTAAAACTGTGAATCAAAAAGTTAGGAAAGAAAGTTCCACCGTTTAGACCTTGTTTTGAAAGACTATAGCCGTCTCCTGTATTAACTGATCTTTCTCTACCAGCTCCACATCTTACAGCCTTCCCCAAACCCTACTCTTCCTAAGTGAACCTTTCCTGTTGCTAGTTCAGCCTCCCTCCCTGGACTGCAGGAAGGATGGTGATAGCCTCTGTAAGTCCAACCCAGGAGTCCTAGTGCCTATGGAGGCTAAAGACTTCTTCACTGGGCAGATGTAAATGGACAGCACCTTAGAATATCAATGGCACTAAGGCATTGGGTTCTCTTCCATGCCTACCCCTGACTAGAGGTTAGGTAGACCACAGTTGGCCCAAACCAGCTGATTAAAATTAAGTCACTCCACAAATGGCCCTAGATAGATGGAAATTTTTCGTTCTTTCCTGCCCTCGATTCTCTTTTCTTTCCTTTTGTCTTTTTTTTTTTTTAGTTTCTAGAAATAATTGTTCTTTTTCTACTGCCTAAAATGAAGGTACCCCACAGTTCATCTCACTTGGCAGTAGCCTCAACAGCTCCTCACCCTTTCTGTATAGCCTTTGTTTTTTTAAGTAGGTTCCACACCCAGTGGAGGCCAACGTGGAACCTGAGTCCACAACCTTTAGATCAAGACTGAGCTGAGATCAAGAGTTGGAGGCTTAACCAACTGAGCTACCCAGGCACCATCCCCCCACTGACTTTTTTTTTTTTTTAATAAAACTGTACAAAACATTTAATATATTGCTCTTTTGGGGTTATTTGATGTATTCGCAGAGTATTATAGCTGAACCATTAATCTTGTTGCTTCATCAACATTAACTGGCTCATTTTCATGACTGAAAGTCGTGCTGAGGAATCAGCTGTTTCTGTAGAGGTTCAAGGGAAAGGCCTTTTGAGAAATGTGGAAGTTCCCTTTGTGTATCTGTAAAAGCTTTATTCACTCTGTTAACTTTTTCATCACTCACAGTGTTTATCTTCTTAAGATTAGTGATAACTGGTTTTGCTTTGTTTTTAGTCTTAAAATTTTTTTGGCTGGCTATATGAAATACATTCCTGGACTTCTGCCCTCTTAGTTTGTTCTTGGCCATTGTCTTGGATAACCTTCCTGCAGCAACACAAGCTCCAAGTGAAGTCATTTCCCTTTATAGAGACTTTCGAGTTCAAAGATGAAAAAGAATGAAGGGTGAAAATAGCCTGTTAAGCTAACAGAGAGAAATTTATAGTTATTTATCACTCCAACAGTTGTTTGTGTTTATGTATGCTTTAATATTCCCAACCTCGGAAATTGAACCCACCATTCATTCACTAGGGCAGTTTTTTAATTGGCCAAATATATTTACAGTAAAGTTGTAACTCCTTTTATGTGTATTTCATTCCCATTTCAAAGCACTTTTGCTAGATTTATATTATAGCACCCATTTTACAGATCAGGAAACTTGACTCAGATGGACCAAAGGACACACCAAGGTCACAGGCCTAATTAGTGACAGCACCAGAATTAAAATCTGGCTTTCTTATTCATTATGGGCTTCTTTGGGGGGGGGGAATGGGATATTATTCTGTACAAGGTTTATATACTAGTCTTTGAGATTTCCTCATGCAGAAAAAAAGGTACCATCCTGTAAACTGTGCTTTGGAGCTGCTGTCAGGAACCAAGGCTTAGGTAGAGTGTCCTACCGGTATACCCTATTTCATATTACTTATGGCTACACAGAACTGAAAGACATTTTGTGGCAAAAAGATCTGAAATCACCTTCTAATAGAATCTAACCATGCAAAAGTTATTTAACCTCTTTGGGTTTGTTTCCTCATCTACAAAATGGTGACAATATTGCTAATCCCACAAGGGCTGGTGTAAGGCTTCAATAAATGACATTTGTAAAGCACTCTGCCAGTAGATTACAGATGCTCGTGTTAGAATTATTGTCTTTTTCCTGAAAAAAAAAAATGCTTTCAAAATAACAGAGTTAGAAGACTCAGGTTAAGGAAAGCTGACTTACCAGGATTCCCTCAGACTTCTCAAGGACTATCCACATATAGGCCATAGCTCTATCCCAAACTTAGGAGGTAGGGATAGGTAGATACAGGCCAGATCACGTGAAGCCTTGTAGGCCATGACATGTAGTTCGGAGTCACCTGATCAGAAGGCACGTTGAAGTTCTTCTTTCTGCTTCTCCAACTCATTGAGCTTGCTCCTACCTTGGGGCCTTTGCACTTCCTCTCCCTCTGCTTGAACTGTGAACCTCAGGTGGTCACATGGCTCATTCCCTCACTGCATGCAGTGCCATTCTAGGAGGCTGTCTATAACCAAATTAATTAAAATGCCATGTCCCTGACTACTAGTCACTCTCTAATCCTTTAGCCTCTTATCTGATTGGATTTTTTCCTCGACACTTAACAATATCTGAAATTATATTACATATTTATTTAATTACTGTCTATCTCTTCTGCTAGGATGTAAGCTTCATAAAGACAGGGACCTCATCTGCTTGTTCATTCTGTTTCCCCAGTACCTAAAGGAATGAATAGTAAATAGTAGGTATTTAGGGGCACCTGGATGGCTTAGTCAGTTAAGTGTCTGACTTTTGATTTTGGTTCAGGTCCTGGTCCACCCCAGCATCAGGCTCTACACTCAGTGAAGATTCTGCTTGGGATTCTCTCTCTCCCTTTCTCTCTGCCCCATCCCCCCAACCCCACCCAGTGCTGGCCCTCTCTCTCTCTCAAATAAATAAATAAATCTTTAAAAATTAAAAAAAAAATTATAGTAGGTGTTTAATAAATAATGAATGAGTGAATGTGCCTATTGTTCTACAAATGAAATTATGGTATTCTAGGACCAGTTATTAGCTAGCACCGTGGATTTCCCAGACTGCAACCTTTACATCTGATTTTTAATTGCTAAGTTCATTTTCAGCATTACTTTAGGATCCTTATAAGGAATAACCAGAGGGGCATCTGAGTGGTTCAGTGGGTTAAAGTCTCTGCCTTCAGCTCAGGTCATGGTCTCAGAGTCCTGGGATCGAGCCCCGCACCAGGCTCTCTGCTCAGCGAGGAGCCTGCTTCCTCCTCTCTCTGCTTGCCTCTCTGCCTACTTGTAATCTCTCTCTGTGTGTCAAATAAATAAATAAAATCTTAAAAGAAAAATAAAAGAATAACCATAAATGACATACTTAAATTGTATACACATGAACTATTCTCCAAAATTGACAATTTCGCTCAGAATAATATCCAATTGGTAAGACAGCAGGAAGAATTCTGAGGCACAGATCTCATCTTGTCGCCAGCCTGCTCCATTCTTCAATGGCGGCCATCACTTTGGGCAATACTCCACAGCTGCACTCTGAAGGGCCCCTGAGATCTCTTTTGAGCTCTTGTGTACCCCCTTGCATCATCTCCTACAGAGGGTAACTACTCTCCCACATAATTATTAATAACACCTTCTTTCATTCTCAAAAGTATCCTAATGTGGGTAATGATACCTATGGTCATCCTACTTGTACGGCTCAGGCAGGCTCACGAAGAGCCTTTCCCACAAGTCCTTCCCTCCAGCCACACCCACCTACCAGCAGGTCTCCAAATAAGAGAGGTTCTTTCCTACTTTTGTTTGAACAACTTTCCCTCAGCCTGGGTCCATTCTTCCAGATTCCAACTCCGCCAGAAAGGCTCTCCCAGAAATTTTCTTCCAGCCTAATTTAGATTAGGCAAACACCCCAGGCTAACTTGGGATTGCCTGAGGAGCTTAATGTTGAGATTTAGCAAATCTAGGGTGGGCCCAGGAAATCTGCTTGCCCCTCTTGTTTCCCGCAACATAATTTTTTTTTAAAGATTATTTATTTGACAGAGCAGGCGCACAATCAGGGGGAGGGGCAGGGGAAGTGGGAGAAGCAGGCTCCCCCCTGAGCAGGGAGCCCAACACAGGGCTAGATCCCAGGACTCTGGGATCATGACCCCAGCCAAAGGCAGATGCTTAACAACTAAGTCACCCAGGTGCCCCATGTTCCCACAACATCCTCTGTATACTGTTCTGGGTATCTGTGTCATAACCTACTTACCTGCCTCTTTCAGGTCACTATAAAATCCCTGAGGGCAGGACCTCATTCATTATTAAGGACTCCCCTTTAGTGAGTCTCCAGTGACTAGAATCACACCCAGTAAATGGTACATGAACAAAGAATAATCATGGCAAACATTTACAGAACACTTACTATGTATCAGACAATGTCCTACATATTTTTTTGGTATTAACTCATTATATCAGAAGAATTTTAAACCCTTAAGGGCTTAATAGTTAAGTCGAATGATAAAGGATATTAGGAAGATTAAGGAACTACGAATTAACTCTGGAAATTGCAAAATGTGACATCCAAATTTGTTTCTTCAACTAAACATTTATATTAAGACAGAATACTTCTCGAAAGTCTTCCATAGTCCTATGCACATTGAATCGTGTTGATCATTTCTAGGGTGCCTTGAGGGAGAACTTTGTAAGCCTGACTGAAATACCTATGATTTCATTCCTATTTCTGACCCTTCCTGACTGTTTTGTGCTTAGTCATCACATTGTACCTTCCAGTGTTTTATTTTCTATCTCAGACCTCTTTAACAAAATGCCTAGGGAGGAGAACAAGAGTAGAACTTCTTCACTATACCCTTCAACTTTAAAATTTAGCACTCTCTGTGGACATCCTATAAAATTGAGGGGATCTTATGAAGGACTTGTGACTCACACAAAGCCTAATGCATTTAAATGTACAATTCCGGTAACGGTGTCAGATTATGGATTTCCAAATGGCAGCCGCAATCATGATTTAGAACAGATGGCCAAACCGCAGGCAGCAGAATCAACAGAATTTTCTGCCATCCCAAGAGGCTAACAGAATCCAAGAGAAGAAGTATCTGACATCACCTAAATTGGTAAACAGCTCAAAACAATCTTAATTAACAGTTTGCTGGAGCACTTAATGACAGAGAACATGCCTCAGTAGAAATTGGTATTCTTAGGCAGCTCTCATATATTATTAACCACATAGGAAGATGGTCGAATGCCCTGGGGGCGGGGGGACAGTCAAAATTAGAAATTAGGAAATCTTGATTTTGGTCTAAGTTGTGACACTAAGTGACCTTGGGCAGTAAGCTGAACTTTCTAAATCTATTTCCTAGTTTATAACACGACATCTAAGCTATCTTCTTTTAGCCTTCAATGTGTGCCCAAGGTAAGTGGGAGGTAGGGGAGAACTTAAACATAAATGAGCAAAATAAGAATCATGAAAACATTTTAGATGATGATAAAGTAAAATTCACCTCGCCGTATACAAGAGGCTCAGTAGGTGAAAGGTAACTGCTAGTGTTCATTTTGTTACCAGAGTTACTGTGGCATTTTTTTACTATGTTACTAGAAATACTAACGCTTGCAGCAGAGCAAACCGTCGCGCCTGTGGTAGGAGGAGTCCTTCTTCAATCGACAAAATCATGTAACGATGTCGGTTAAATGTTGAACCATTTTGAACACGGTCATCTGCAGGTCCTGGTATTGTCAGTCCTGGAACAGCCTTGGGAAAGAATAAGTTATCTTTTCAGCCTCACTTGTTATTCAGCGCAAGAGACCAATAGGGAAAGACTCCGCAACCTCCCTCAGCGCGGAAGCTAAAATGCGGTCTCCAAAGTTTCAGGCCGAGGTAGTCCAGATGTAGACGCCAACAGACCCATTTTACTCTGTATTTTTTGTACACGCTCCATGTTTCTTTGACAGAATTTTTTTTAAGGACTCCGTTCAATCTTTCAAGGAAACTTATGGTTTGTGTGTATTCGTGATGGAAGAAGAGAAGCTGAAGAGAAGGGACAGGGCACTAGAAGAAGGGGACAGAATTAAGCTCCCAGGAAGGAAGCCTACTGCTTCTCAAGTTACCATTTGTAAACCCTTTACCCGGTTCTGTTTGGCCTATTGTCCTGGGTAAATCATCCATTGAAAATCAAGCTCTTCAGCTCATTATATATTCTTCATTTGAGGTGACCAGAACTATTTCCTGAAACCTGGTTTGGGTGCTAATTACCTGCTCAAACACCTTATAAATACCTCCGTGGATTTGTC